GCATAAATGTTACAGAAGTTTTATATGGTCGTTTAAAAATTATGATTTCTCATCGAGGTGTGGTGGCTCATGTGTGTAATCCCAGTACTTGAGAGGTCAAGGAGGGGAGATCACTTGAGGCCAGAAGTTTGAGACCAGTCTGGGCAACATGGCAAAACCCACTCTCTACTAAAAATGCAAAAATTAGCCGGGCTTGGTGGTGCATTCCTGTAGTCCCAGCTACTTCGGAGGCTGAGGCACAGGAATCACTTGAACCAGGGAGGTGGAGGTTGCAGTGAACCTAGATCGCGCCACTGCACTCCATCCTGGGCAATAGAGCAAGACTCTATTGTCTCAAAAAAAAAATACGATTACTATTTTTCTTACCTACTTACACCTTGCTGTTGAAATACTTCTGTTTTAATTTTTACTTTTTGTGGGTACATGATAGGTTTGTATATTTATAGGGTATGTGAGATATTTTGATATAGTCATATAGTACATAGTAATCTCATCAGGGTGAATGGGGTATCCATCACCTCAAGCATTTATCCTTTGCATTACAAACAATCCAGTTATTCTATTTTAGTTATTTTTTAATGTATAATTAAATTAGTATTGACTATAGTCACCCAGTTGTGTTACTAAATATATGTCTTATTCGTTCTGTTTTCTTGTACTCATTAACCATCCCCACTTCCCTCTCTCCCTTCCACTGCCCTTCCCAGCCTCTGGTAACCATCATTCTAGTCTATCTCCATGAGTTCAATTGTTTTAATTTTTAGATCCCACAGATAGCTGAGAAGATGTGAAGTTTGTCTTTCTGTGCCTGGCTTATTTCACTTAATGTCCTCCAGTTCCATCCTTGATGTTGCAAATGACAGGATCACATTCTTTTGTATGGCTCAATAGTACTCTGTTGTGTATAAGTACCATGTTTTCTTTATCCCTTCCTCTGCTGATGGACACTTAAGTTGCTTCTAAATCTTGGCTATTGGGAATAGTGTTACAATAAACATGGGGTTGCAGATCTCTGTTCGGTATCCTGATTTTCTTTCATTTGGGTATATGCCTAAGAGTGGGATTGCTGGATCATATGGTAGTTCTACTTTTAGTTTTGGGGAAACCTCCAAAGTGTTCTTCATAATGGTTGTACTAATTTGCATTCCCACCAACAGGGTATGAGGTTTGCTTGCCAGCATTCATTGTTGCCTGTCTTTTGGATAAAAGCCATTTTAAGTGGTGTGAGATGATAGCTCATTGTAGTTTTGATTTGCCTTTGTCTGATGATCAGTGATGTTAAGCACCTTTGCATATACCTGTTTGCTCTTTGTATGCCTTCTTTTGAGAAATGCCTATTGAACTCTTCTGTCCATGTTTTAATCAGATTATTAGATTTTTTCTTGTAGAGTTGTTTGAGCTCTTTATACATTCTGGCCATTAATCCCTTGTGAGATGAATAGTTGGCAAATATTTTCTGCTATTGTGGGTTGTCTCTTCACTTTGTTGATTGCTTGCTTTGCTCTGCAGAAGATTCTTAACTTGATGTGATCCCATTTGTCCATTTGCTTTGGTTGCCTGCGCTTATGGGGTATTACTCAAGAAACCTTTGCCCAGACCAATGTCCTGGAGAGTTTCTCCAATTTTTTCTTGTGGTGGTTTCATAATTTGAGGTCTTAGATTGAAGTCTTCAATCCATTTTGGTTTGATTTTTGTGTATGTCAAGAAATAGGGGTTTTAGTTTTATTCTTCTGCATATGGATATATAGTTTTCCCAGCACTATTTATTGAAGAGACTGTACTTTCCCTAGTGTAGGTTCTTGCACCATTGTTGAAAATGAGTTCACTGTAGACGTATGGATTTATTTTGGTGTTCTTTATTCTGTTCCAATGGTCTATGTGTCTGTTTTTACGCCAGTCCCATGCTGGTTTGGTTGCAGCTTTACTGAATTTGTTATCATTTTAATATTGAGATACCTACAAGATATTCAAGTGGAGATACTGAGTAGACAGTTGGACATATAAACCTAGAGTTAGGGGAGAGGTCACAGAGCTAAATATTTGGGAGTTGTCACCAGATAGATGGTATTTAAAGCTATGAAACACTTTGAAAAAAACCAAGGGAGTGAATATGTAGATGGAAAAGAGAAAAAGGACCAAAGGTTATATCCTTGGATACTCCAGTGTTGAGAAGTTTACAGGAAATACAGGGGGTAAAGGAATATGAGCTGCAACCTACCCTTGCTCAGGTGATCCTTCCACCTCAGCCTCCTGAGTAGCTGGGACTATAGGCGCTTGCCACCACGCTTGATAATTTTTTGGTTTTTAGTAGAGACATTTGAAACTATAGAGCATTCTTTCTGTTTGGAGTCTCTACTAATGGAACTGCAATACATGAGAGATCTAAAACATTTTACTGTACCTGATACTAAGTGTTTCCATTTGACAACCCACTTATTTTTCAGAAGCTCATATCCTAATATATATATTGTAAAAGTAAAGTTGTCTTTATAAAATACTTACAAACTACTCTTGATCAGAACAAAATAAATTATACTTTCATGGTGCTTTACATGGATCAGAATTCACAAGATGCAAGATTTTTCATGCTTATTTAATATAGAAATTAATCAAATTTCTATAAACAAATGCCATACAGGACCCATGATTATATTCTTACAGATTCTGTTTCTGATAAATACAGGAGAAGTGTAGGGTCAGTGTTGGAGGGTCCCAAGCTATAGTCTTTCTCTGCTTGGTTAAATGGTAGAGAAAGCTAAATACTGCTCAAAAAATGATATCAGTTGTTCCTTAAATTTAGTTTCCTCTTGTATACAAGCTGGGTAGTCCTATGTTTTAAAATGTTCCTTGAAAAAAAGAAAATACTCATGACAATCATTAGAAAAACCTTTTTAAAAAATGTGAAGTTAATATATACTAAAGACTGAACAATTCACCTTCAGGCCTGCTCAAGAAATTGTTTTACTTGAATAAAGTTTTACTCTTAGCAGCTGCATCTGATATACAGCAATAAAGTATATTTTCTTTTTTTTTTTTTTTTTTTTGAGACGGAGTTTCACTCATGTTACCCAGGCTGGAGTGCAATGGCGCGATCTCGGCTCACTGCAACCTCCGCCTCCTGGGTTCAGGCAATTCTCCTGCCTCAGCCTCCTGAGTAGCTGGGATTACAGGCACGCACCACCATGCCCAGCTAATTTTTTGTAGTTTTAGTAGAGACGGGGTTTCACCATGTTGACCAGGATGGTCTTGATCTCTTGACCTCATGATCCACCCGCCTCGGCCTCCCAAAGTGCTGGGATTACAGGCTTGAGCCACCGCACCCGGCCTAGTATATTTTCATAGAGTATTAATTTTGCTTTCCTAAAACAGCATCTCCTTGCTTCTATTGGAAAATTTCAAAATTTCTCCCAAATCATACAAATAAAGATGTACATGAACAAAAATTATTTAATAATACCAGAAGACAATGCTAGAAGATTACTTCTGTTTTAACAAATAAAAGATTGTTACTACGTTGTTAACTATGACCATAGTTGTTATTTTATTTACTTGTACTTTCTTTCTTTTTTTTTTTTTTTTTTTTTGAGATGGAGTCTCACTGTGTCACCAGGCTGGAGTGCAGTGGCGCGATCTCAGCTCACTGCAACCTCTGCCTCTTGGGTTCAAGTGATTCCCCTGCCCCAGTCTCCCAAGTAGAGTGCCACCACGCCTGGCTAATTTTTTGTATTTTAGTAGAGATGGGGTTTCACCACGTTGGCCAGAATGGTCTTGATCTCCTGACCTAGTGATCTGCCCTCATTGGCCTCCCAAAGTGCTGGGATTACAGGCGTGAGCCACCACGCCTGGCTTGTACTTTCTTATTTTTCCAGTTACTTTATTTTTTCAATAAATACGTGTTGAAATCCTGGTATGTACTGTGCACCTAGGTGAAGAGTGTAAAAAATAAATAAATATCCAGTATCTTGGAGCTTTGATCCTACTTGAGGGAGACATAATGAAGAATGATATAATAAATAGTAAATGTAAGAAACAAATTCTTAGAAGATGATAAGTGTTACGGAGGAAAAAATAGAGGAGGGAAATAGGGGTTGTGGCGCTGAGGATAGGGCACAGGTTTCAGTATTCCATAAGAAAATTGGGGTAGACCTTACTACTAATACAATAAAAGTAAGAAGGGAATTATGAAAATAGTTAACATGGTTACTGTTTTTCTTCTTATAGCTGGAATAGTCAAATGATTTCAGTTCGTGAAGCCAAAGCCATTCCGAGGCCTGATGGTATTGAATGGAGAAATAAATTCATCTGTGTAGAAGGTAGTTTTCTGTTCGCCTTCCAGTTATCATCATGGCACTAAGAGAATTACTTGAGTAATTTCAGCTGTGTTTCAGTTAAAAGTAATACATTTATATCTGAAGTGATTTCTAAGTCTCTTAATTTAAAATTTTTAATTTAAAAAATCATTGATGGGGAGGGAGGGGAGGGGCGGGAGGGATAACGTGGGAAGAAATGCCAGATATAGTATGCACCTAAAGTAAAAATTAATTTTACAAAATAATTGAAATTTTTTAGTTGTGAAAAATAATAAACATAAATTTAGGCATTCACCCTTTTGAGTTAGTAAGATTTGGGCTGTCTTTATTCCTCTTACTTGTGGTTGATAGACAATTTCATGACTTACGGATGGAAGAAATCTTTATATATGATTCTTTTTTTTTGAGACGGAGTTTTGCTGTCGTTACCCAGGCTGGAGTGCAATGGCGCGATCTCGGCTCACCCGCAACCTCCGCCTCCTGGGTTCAGGCAATTCTCCTGCCTCAGCCTCCTGAGTAGCTGGGATTACAGGCACGCGCCACCATGCCTAGCTAATTTTTTGTATTTTTAGTAGAGACGGGGTTTCACCATGTTGACCAGGATGGTCTCGATCTCTTGACCTCGTGATCCACCCGCCTCGGCCTCCCAAAGTGCTGGGATTACAGGCATGAGCCACCGCGCCCGGCCTGTTTATATATGATTCTTATATTGACCTGAGTTATTTTATATTCTTTTATACTTAAAATATTATTACTTAATGCAAGTTGCACTTTTTTTTTTTTTGAGACGGAGTTTCACTCATGTTGCCCAGGCTGGAGTGCAATGGCGCGATCTCGGCTCACCGCAACCTCTGCCTCCTGGGTTCAGGCAATTCTCCTGCCTCAGCCTCCTGAGTAGCTGGGATTACAGGCACGCACCACCATGCCCAGCTAATTTTTTGTATTTTTAATAGAGATGGGGTTTCACCATGTTGACCAGGATGGTCTCGATCTCTTGACCTTGTGATCCACCCGCCTCGGCCTCCCAAAGTGCTGGGATTACAGTCTTGAGCCACCGCGCCCGGCCCACAGGTTGCACTTTTATAACTAGGACTTGATTGTGCTTTAAAAATTAAATGATCTGAAGAAATTTTCTTCTCTAAAATTAATTTACATGTAGTTGAATATCCTTGACTTCAATGGACAGAATTGTTCTCATAGTTGCTAAACTAAAGACCTTTGTAAATCTAGAGGTAAAAAAGTATAAGTAATTGAGAATCAGCATGTGTAGAAAACAACAGATTTCAGATATTTTAATCTTGAATCATATGCAGTATTTGAAGAGTTTGTGAATATGAAATTAAATCTCCTGCTTTGGTGTGCTAATAAATTGCACTGGGTGAACATTATTTTAGTTACTTGTATTCTAATGAATACTAAACTGTTATAAATTGCAATGATTATGTAATCCAGTATAATTTGGTTTATGACCTTACTCTGTTAAGGAAAAAAAAAACCCCACAGTACTGTGATAGTTAACTCCTTTTTAACATAGGCTTTCAATAAAAATTAAGCAAAAGAATTATTTAAAATTATGGTCCTGCATAGATTGTATGAGAAATCTAAAGTTTAACCTTTCCATCAGATTGCCTGTTCTTTCACACTTTTTCTAGGTCTTTCCCCTTATACCTTTCCTCTTACCAGCAACTTCATTCTTTCTCTCTCCAGTCCTTCCCTTTCAGCTCTAAGGCATACACAGATCTTCTCATTCTTAAAAAATACTCTTGATTTGGTCCTACTGGTTCTTCTATGCATTTTTCCTCCCTTTTCTGTGCTAAAATTCTTAATTTCTAGTAATTTTTACCTACCGCTGGCATGATTTTAGTCACTTCATCTCATTCCTGATGCCTTTAGTTATCCTTGTCTTCTCACTATTTTCAGTTTCCTTGTACTCTTCTGGTTTCTTCCTATCTCTCTGTATGGATTCTTCTGTCTTGTGGGTGAAGGGTGAGTGGGATGGTGGTGTGATCACGGAAGGTATATATACTGGAGATGCACATACATAAAAACCGTTCCTTTGTTTTTTTTCCTATCCTCTCTGTTTGCTATTCTCTTTTTCTGCCTAATTTCTCATGCAAGTTACTTCACTCTTTTTTCTAAACCATCCACTCGGGCCATAACTCCCTGTACTGTCTTTTGTTTTCTCCAGTATTGAACCTCTACCTTAAAAGGACAAATCAGCTTTTAAGTTTAAATTTAAGGTTACCTTTCTGTGATATTTAATGTTGACTGCCTCTCTTAGATATAATGGTTTTTTCTTTTTGATGACTTTTTATTATTTTCTTAAGGGTAGGTCTTTGACCTTCTGTAATTTTTCAGAAATCTTATCCACATTTATGATTTAGACTTAACACACCTGTGCTGATGACTTTGATTTTTAATCACCCTTTCCCTTGAATTCTATCTACTTTATTAGGTAGTTCATAACTATATTAAGCTTTTCTACATATATAAATCTAATAAAAATATTAGGCTGACCCATCTGAAATTGCAATTTTTGTAGGTCAGAAACTGTCACATATTGACAGTGTCAAACCTAAAAAAGATACTGTAGCCCTCATTTTAATATTTTTTTTACATGTGCATTTAACATTGCAGAACCTTTTGATGGAACAAATACAGCCAGAGCGGTGCACGAAAAGCAGAAATTTGACATGATCAAGGATCAATTTTTAAAGGTAAACAATGCATTAGATCAACCCTAGAAACAGTAGTACACCAGTATGCTTTAAAAAGGAAACAAAATATATGTAATAGGACAGAATAGTCCTGGTTTCTCTTTGTGAATCTACTAATCTAGCACAATAGGGAACTTATTGTTTGAATTTAGATAAACTTTTCTTTCAAAGAGATCTGGCTCTGTTTTTATTCACATTGCTTTCACTTTCATGGAAATAAGCATTTTCTTTTTTCTTTTTTTTTTTGAGATGGAATTTCACTCCTGTTGCCCAGGCTGGAGTGCAGTGGCACAGTCTCAGCAACCTTCACCTCCCAGGTTCAAGGGATTCTCTTGCCTTAGCCTCCAAAGTAGCTGGGATTATAGACCTGTGCCACTACACCTGGCTAATTTTGTTTGTTTGATTTTTTGTTTATATAGAGACAGGATTTCAACATGTTGGTCAGGCTAGTGTTGAACTCCTCACGTCAGGTGATTCACCCCTGGGCCTCCCAAAGTGTTGGGATTACAGGTGTGAGCCACCGTGCCATGCCCTAATAAAGTATTTTCATAGTGACCTTATTAAATTTCCAAAGTGAGTAAGTAAAACCTAATGGACTCTTTGACCTCCTTAGTATATCAGGGAATTTATTGTGGCCTTACAACGAAGCTGATGTGTAATCCATGCTTTTTCTTCTGTATACCCCACTGTCACAGGAATTAGAGTGCCATTTGATCTTTGTTTATATTTTGGACAGTTAAAAAAAATTATGTCTGTGTCCATAGTATGAATTTATTCATCAGTGAGGTTGCTAGATGTGGTCTTTATCTTCAAGGACTTCCACAACACATTTTAGAAATGCATTGATGTATGTATTGAGACTTGGAGGGGAGAGAAAGCTTTATGGAAGAAAAAGATGAGAGAACTGCAGAGACCATTTTAGAGGCTTTTTTTTTTTTTTTTGGAGACAGAGTCTTGCTCTGTCACCCAGGCTGGAGTACAGTGGCATGATCTTGGCTCACTGCAAAGTCTGCCTCCTGGGTTCAAGCGATTCTCCTTCCTCAGCCTCACAAGTAGCTGGGATTACAGGCACCTGCCATCACACCTGGCTAATTTTTGTATTTTTGATAGAGATGGGGTTTCACCATGTTGGCCAGGTTGGTTTTGAACTCCTGACCTCAGGTGATCTGCCCACCTTGCCTCCCAAAGTGCTGGGATTATAGGCATGAGCCACTATCCCCGGCTGAGGCATACTTTTTTATTATCTAGACATACAAGTAGACTTTATTTTAATGATAATTTAAAATGCAAGTATTGAGGCATGAGTATCACTGGAGCCCAGGAGTTCAAGGCTACAGTGGGCTATTATCAAGTTGCTGCACTTCAAGCCTAGACGACAGAGTGAGACCCACCTCTACATACATACATACATAAAATAAAATAATGGTCATGTGCAGTGGTTAACACCTGTAATCCGAACACTTTGGGAGGCCAAGGCAGCCAGGAGTTTTAAGACCAGCCTCAGCGACACATAGCAAGACATAGTTCACACACACACACACACACACACACCCCCACACCCACCCACCCCACCTCCATTCCTGGGTACACTGGTGCTCATCTGTGTCTTAGCTACTGGGGAGGATGGCCTTGAGCCTAGGAGGTCGAGGCTGCAGTGAGCTGTGATTGTGCCACTGTACTCCAGCCTGAGCAGTAGAATGAGACCCTGTTTCAGATAGGTAGGTAGGTAGGTAGGTAGGTAGGTAGGTAGGTAGGTAGATAGATAGATAGTATTCTATTACAAGCTATCCTTCAAATGAGGCTTTCTTAATTTGGAAACCAGAAAAGAAATTCTTTAACTTTAAAACAGATATCCAAGAGAGAATATTTTTGTTTATCAGATTAAATTGAGAAGTCAAAAATAGCATTGCTACATTGCTGTTCTCATTGATGAGTGAGCTTTCATTTAGGATTGTTTAGTTGTAAAACCAATACTTTTAGTCAATTGAACAATTGAAGTGAGACTAGAATACAAAGATCTGCAGTCACCAAGTAGCCAGATTTTTAACTTGTGAACAAGTTTCTTCTCCTTATAAATTCAAATCACTGTTCTTTTCCAGAGGCATACATAAAGTGCCTTCTTGTAAATTTACTCTCTCCTTCATAAATACTATTTTTTTTTTTTAGACAGGGTCTTGCTCTGTCACCAGACTCATGCCGCCTCAGCCGCCCAGGCTCAATGATCCTTCCACCTCAGCCTCCTGAGTGCTGGGTATGGTACCACCATACCCAGCTAATTTTTGTATTTTTTGTACAGACAGGGTTTCACCATGTTGCCCAGGCTGGTCATGAGCTCCTGGGCTCAAGTGATCTGCCTACCTCAGCCTCTCAGAGTTCTGCAATTATAGGCATGAGACACTGTACCCAGCCTCATAAATATTTTTAATGGAAAAAGCTAATGAAGATGTAAGACAGTCAGTCAAATAATTGAAATAATCCTCTCCTCTCAAATCCAAAGGTTTTGTCTTAATTACCTTGCTATTTTAAATCGAATTAACTCATGAATAAATATTAATATTGTCAGTCGTATTTCAGTACCACCTATGTGCCCATTTCTTTAATAATGAATTGGAACCATAAAAGTACAGAGCTTTAAAATAACATTTTCTTTTCTTATACTTTGTTAAAAACTTGGAAAATGAAAACTCAGAGAACCAGACTGGGCAATACAGTGAGACCTTATCTCTACAAAAAATTTTTTAAATTATCTGAATGTGGTGGCACACACCTGTAATCCCATCTACTCAGGAGGCCGAGGTGGGAGGATATCTTGAGCCTGGGAGGCGGAGGTTGTAGTGAACCAAGATTGTACCACTGCACTCCAGGTTGGGCAGCAGAGCAAGACCCTATCTCAGAAAAAGAAAGGACTTGAAGAAAAAAATTATTCAAAATTTTATACCTAAAGAGAACCACTGTTAACATTCTTTTAAACTCTTAGTCTTTTGTTCTGCCTTAATTTTAGGTTTTAAGAATGATTTTTCTTTCTCTCCCAGTCATGGCACAGATTGAAAAACAAGAGAGATTTGAACAGTATACTACCCGTAAGAGCTGCTATCCAGAAAAGATAACTGGCCTCTGTTTCTTAATAAATTATTCCAAGAAATAAAGAACAATAGTTTCATCATAATACATTATGTTTACCTGCATCATAGTTTCTTTTTTCATAGTTCTTGTTTTCATGTTTTATTTTTAAAAAGACATACAAAGATTGCATATTTTATTATGACATTTCCTAATAAAACCCTTTGATTTAAAAATGTATTTTTGAAAATGTTTACATTGATGATTAGTAATATTATGGCATGAATTTTCAGGTGATCAGATAAAATATATTTTGGGAAATTACCTGAACAAATAAAAAGTTTTTGATACAACCTCAATTAATGGTACCACATGCTAATCCTGAGATGTGTGGAATTTTGGAAAGGATCTAATTCATACGTGCTTAAAGTATAACCTACATTAGCTAGTTTGTTGTCTAAGTCTGTTCTAGTAAAGTGAAGATTCAAGTCAGTTGTTCAGTTACTTGAAGCAAAACAAAATCTTTCACTTCAGTGACATTACTGCAGAGTCATGAAATACTGAACAATTGCCTTAAGTCTTTGCTTGACTCACTAGGATAGACTGAGGCTTTGGGTGTGTCTGTATTAGCATTTCACTAGTACTTCACAGGCTTTTGATGCACTCTTGAGATTGCTTTAAAATTTTGTATTGAAAGAACAATACATTTTGCACTGTAGTAATAGGAGTACCAACTCTTAGAGAATTGTTTCAAAGAATCAGTTCAGTGTAGACATTTTGAAAAGATTGTTTCCTGTGCTTTATGATAGCTTAGTGCAATGTGCACTTCTGCTTTACTTGCTGTTTTCCTGCTCTATTTTCTTTGTGACATGAAGCAACAGAAACTGAGAGATCAAAGTTAAGATTATATCCTGTTTGTAGTATCAGATATTTTTCTGTGTACAATTGTAGGATTATAATCTAAACTGGAATTT